TTCTATTATTTTTTTGATGTTCATTGGCTCACAAAAAAATATTTTATTTCTTACAGTCAATAAAAATAATATATCAGATATGGAGCAAGTTTGAAGTATTATGTGAAAGTATGCACTTCTAGAACCACGATTAGGCATTATCTGACGTGTGCTTTACATATTTCAACTGTAATACCTCTAACTTAAAATATTACAGTTTAAATAACACGACATAACCTCAAAAACATATTACACAATTACTCGATACTCCCAGCTTTTAAAAATATATTTAATGTCTTTTTTGTTCTAGTTGTATAGACAAACAAAAGAATATATGTTGCATCAAGTTACGTTTTATTCGATTTTACTAGTCCAAGCATGTTAGGCCATTGTTCTTTCACGCTGTCTCATGTACACCGGCATTAAGTCTCTGAATACCTATTTTAAATGTTATGGCAGCTGCTTTCATTAGTGCGGGGCTCCATTTTCTCGATTTTTTGTCAAAATATATTTTGCCAACGTTGGCACATTTTATGAGGAGGGGCTACTTTAATTTATTTATATCTCTGTAATTTTTGTGATTCTCTTTTAGATTCTTATTTTTTTACAGATAAAGAAATGCATTTCACGAAAACGTATTATTTTATTATATTTGATCAATTTTGCATTCACAATGCCATACTGAAAAATATTCTTAATGAGTGCCAAGGACAAAGTGGATTTTTTAAGCATTTTTCATGAATACTATTATTTTTCCGTAATTTTGTCAATATCAATATAATTTAATGGTGATATTATCATACTACGAGTAATACCAGTACGTTGACTTTTTTTTTGTATAAATACTAGTACATTTGGCATTTAAATTTAAATGGTTTTATTAATATTTGGCCATCCTGGATGTTCTAGTCGGTTAATGTAAGCATTTTATAACGGATCGGACCGGACCTAACTTATATTATTAAAAGGTCCAGTTATTATGAATTTGTTTTATTTTAAATATGATAATTTTAGTTTGTACAAGCAAAATATCAAGAACACAACTTCAACCAAAAAACAAAACACATGAATATGAAAAAGACGTTTTAGACAGTTAATAGAATATCAAAAGAAAAAGAAATATTACAAAAGAGTTCTTATGTACATAAAATTATGGTGGATTCGTCCACACATATAGTGGTAAAAAGGAAAAGTCAAAAGAGTTCTAGGCCAGATTTAAAGTTTCTTTTTGAGAGCTCTAAAAGATAATCAAGCATTGGCTATACCTTAACAATGATTTGGAAGACGACGAGAAAGATACTTTTGCAAGTCTTGGTCAGAAGTGACGTCAATTACATATATATTGAGTTTATATGTTTATTTCTTTAAATTAGTGTTCAATTTAATATCAAAATGATGAATAGACCGAACTGAACTAAGTTTAATTTAGGGTAGATCTATATATTGCTGGGTCTGGGACATTTTGACATGATTATTAAATAGGTACATAAACATAATAATAATAGCTTTTTGTTATATTAATTGTATCTATTCCAATTTTTTATGAGTTTGTCAGATTATCCAAACTGCTTCAAATTATATGCACTGTGTTAAATAAATAACATAATATTTTAGTTTCTTTTTTCTTTTCAAGTAAGTCTAAATTAGGGCATGGATACCGGTATACCGGTATACCGAAATACCGGTATACCGGACAATTTTTTCGGTATTTTGATACCGGTATTTAAGGATAAAATACCGGTATTTCGGTATTTAAAAAAAAGCTTTATATTTTTGCAATATCAGCTGTTAAAAGTCATTGATACGTTTTCACACATATTTTTAGGGTACCAAAAGATCAAAGGACTGAGTATGACTGAGTAGGCTACGCTGTCTCCGCCTGTCAGCGGGCTCTATCTCCGAAACCGCTGAAGCTAGGAATCTGAAATTTTCACAGAATGTGTACAACTGTTGCCGTTACAAAAACAAATACTAAAACCTGTTACAAGTTTTATCTAAGTGACGCTGATACAACAAAGTGTCAAAAATTGGAATATCTCAGCCGTTATCAAAGCTAGCAAAATATTTTTATTAATTTATCATACCGAATTGGTTCTTAAATCAATAATAAATAAAGAATATTATTCTCCAACGGCACCCTTCGTGCGCGAGTTCCACTCGCCGGTTTTTTATATTTCACAGCACAGTTGTACACGTTATGGAACCCACACCCAGCAGTTGTATATATAAGGATGCCTTCGCCTATGTTATGTCCATCCCCAGGGTTCAACTATCGATTCAAATAATCGGCAGATTCAAAACGATTCGAGTATCCAGTCCCTTCACTAATCATGTGACGCGCACGCCGAGCACGCCACTTCCTTCCCCTCCCTCCGCCCGCCGCCGGCTCGCGGCTTCCTCAGTCAGTTCTGCTGATATTATTGAAGCGAGAGTACGTTGCCGTTTGTTTACTACTCTAACTCCACCAGCTTTTTAAAATGGAGGTACTAGAGGCAGATTTTTGGATGCAGCTTACAAGTACCTATTAAGCATTCCTCCCACCAGCGTTGAATCAGAAAAGGCGTTTTCATCTGCAAGTTACATTTGTAACAAAATAAGATCATCGTTGAACGACGCAACTTTGGACGCATTGTGTTTTCTTCGTTCAATTTTACAACAAACGCGATCTACCTGATTGAGATTTAAGTTGAATTTCGCCTTTGATATAAATAATTTTAAAATAAGTAACATCATTTGTAATTTGATTTTGTTTGAAAATTTTGTAACTTACATGTTATAAGTTCTATTATTATAAGAGAGCTGATTGTGATATTTGTGTCAATTAAACAATAAATGAACGATACTAGGATCAAAGAACGTATTTTCTTTAGTATGTCTTAATTAATAACCTTACATTAATTACCTACTATTTTTTTGATTTCTAGGGAGTGAATAGTTTCAGTGTTTTTACTTTGGAGACTTACTAAACGTTCTTTAAATTATTTAAACAGTAGTTACTGTTTTTTAGCAGTAATTTCAAAATATACCGAAAAAATACCGAAATACCGGTATACCGGTATTTGAAAGTCTAATACCGGTATCAATACCGGTATGAAAATCATTTCGGTATTCCATGCCCTAGTCTAAATCAACGTGTGACTTTTTATTTAGTAACTAAAAAGTGACACGATAATTTAATATATTAGTTAAAGAGTTAAATTTCTTAAAAATTTTACTACATTATTATTACATTCTACATACGGATAAATTTAGCTTCAAAAGTGGTGAATTTTGATTACTGTCATGTCTTTAATGACACTCGCAAGGTTAAGTAAGATTAATCGATTGACGTAAAAATCATCAAAATCGGCCGACGTATTTGGTCTCTAGAACACCACATAGAAACAAACATACATACATAGACTGATTGACTCGTTCTTCATTCCAATACTCATTCAAATCTCGCCAAGAAAGTACAAAATATTGCTCCGCAAAAATGAAGAAATACGGTAAAATAAATACGACTCTCTTTCACACTTAAATCATTAACAATTTTGAAAATAAAAAACCAGAATATGATTTTTTTTTATATCATAGCATAACAGGTACAGTGTTTTTTTTTACGCCTAATGAAATTCTAATAAACAATAAAATTATAAAAAATACTTTAAAAACATTTTATGTAAAATGTGCTATTAGTGATTATTTGTATTGAACATTATTGACTATGGTAAGGTGCTGTTTGTACACATAATTTTAATAAAAGAAACAACTTTTAAACGGTTTCGTCGCGTTTATATTTAGTATTATTAACGTGTCAGACGTTTCACAGGTTTTGTGATCACATAAGACTATTTATTGTCTTTTTAATTAAGAGTAAAGCTACATTCAAAATAATACTATTGGACACATTCAAAATCCAAAATATATATATATATATATATATATGGCAACGTTTACATTTATTAAATGTAATTATTTTAAAAATACTTTTGACTTATTTATTCACCCCTGTCTACCGTAATCTACCACCATTCCAAATTTAAAACCGTTTAAAAGTTGTTTCATTTATGGATAGTGCGCATGAAAATATACATAAGAAATCTATACATAATAAGTCAGGTAACCTTAATAATCCCAATTGATTTCGAACTATGCTCATGTATTATGCTAACTGTTAAGGTATAAAATGAAAAGAGAAGAGAGGAGAAATTAAGACTAGTTTCGCTTGATGAAAAATTCCTTTCATTTGGCTTATTTAAAAATCGTTTTTAAAGGCATTTCTTTCATGGTTCGGGTATAGATTTTTTTCCCTATATTATTTAATTACAATATAGTATCTCAAAAAGTATACGATTTAGATATAAAAAAAATATTTTAAACTCTTACCATAAAACCTCGTTTTTTAAAACAGCGAATATCATCTTTATATAGATGTCAAGTATTTAGGCAGGTTGCATCATTAAAAAAACTCATGATTCATTATTTTTAATTTAATATAATCAATTTATTTAAAATACGAAGTATGCGAAAGCAAGGTATGAGAAATCTTTAAACAATTATTTCCATAAATTGGTAACTAAACAAATGAGATTCAATTAGATATCCGATTATAAATTTATTACACAGAAAGGTATGTAATAAATTCCTTTATTCGATTTTATAACTTAGGTATTACGGTAGAAGTAAAATAGGTACATCGTGTAAAATACGCTAATAATATCCAAAAACATAGAAATTGTTAACAAACAATATTAATAAACAGTTAATAAACCGAAACATAAATGTTGTTTTGTCTAACTTTTGGGGATCTAGCTATTTTTGTATTTTTATTACAATACAGCATTAAAATATTCAGTGACTAGACTATTAGTTCAATACGTTCTAAGTATTGATACGCACAATAGCTTAATACGATACAAGCAATCTTAGTATTTAAGCTATGGCATTATAATATTCGTCAAATACCTATGTAGGTACACTTAAAATTCATAAATAATAATTTCTATTATAGTGCCATTAATTTTATAATAAATTATTATTTAATTAGTTGGATCTGTATTAAAAGATATAACGCTTTTTGAAGATTTTCTATGGAAACTTTTCTTCTTCGAGAATTTTGGCTTAGCATACCACGAGGGCGGAGACACCACATTTTCTTCGAAGCTTTTCATGCTAAGACTTTTGAGTGTATCTTGGCGTTCTGGTAGTTTCGATGATATAGTATTTATGTGTTCATTTTTCTCTGCCAGATTTTCGCTTTGATAGGGTATATTTTTCATTTGTATAACTTCTACGTCGGTGTCACTTAAATCTTTGCTAGGTCTATGTAATTTTGTAATTTCTGTATTATACCCAGCAGTTTTTATGGTACCACCCATTCGTTTTGATTTATCCCTGTATAAGAGTTTCTTAAATTCAATACGAAACTTAGGGTGAGTTATAATGTAAATAAAAGGATTTATACAAGCGGCAGTTTTACAAAACAATGCGGGAATCATAGAAGTAATGGGCGTAATAAGATCTTTTTTACCGGCTATACCAAGAAGAGCCACTACGGCGTAAGGCGTCCATGATATAAAAAATAAGGCTATGACAGCTATAACAAGAAACGCAAGTTTTATTTCCGCTTTACGTTTGACTCTTTCTTTGACATGCCTTGATGAGAGCCTTTGCTCTTGATTCGAAGTGGAAATGTTTCTGTTGCAAACGACTTCTCTAAATATATTTAGGTAGCAGAAAGATATAGTACAGAAGGGCGCGAGCCATGCAGCGCAAAAGAAGACGAAGATAAAGTAGCGTGGTGGAGTTTCTTCGGTGAGATAATCGAAGCTGCAACTGGTGAGATAGCCTTCGGGTACGTAATGGCCGTAGCCAACATCGAAAGCGGGGATAGATGCGAAGAGAGCGGCGTAGAGCCAGGCGGCTATAGCGAGAAGACGCGCGCGCACCGCTGTCAGAGCCCGTAGAGGCTCCAGCGGTCGCACTACCGCCCAGTACCGGTCCAGTGCAATAGCGGATAGTGTGGCGATAGAAGTAACTCCTGTTAATCCACCCAAAAACCCGTATATGATGCAACCTGAAAGAATGATAATAATTTTGTATGTTATATCGAAAAGATTCTTTTTGATGTATTATTTTAAACGAGGAAATAATTTTGCTCAAAAATTTATTAAGTTTCCAAATAATACTGGTAATATTCTAACCGATTTCAAAATCGAAAAGGAGGAGATTAGACGTTCGACGGCGATGTATGTTTTTTTATGGAGTGCTAGGGCAAAGTGGATTTTTAAGCATTTTTCATTAAGAAGAGGGTATATATGTATATGTTCATCGATTTCTTTTTGAATTAAAAACAAATTTCTATCAAACTTGCTATGCCTATGTTCCCCTCGTATTATATAGTTTCCCGAAGATGAATGACTTTATAAATTGGTTCTGAGAGTTCCGGAGCCAATCCAATGCAAACAAACAAGCAATCAAATCTTTTCTCTATAAAATATAAGTATAGAAAAATTTGAAAAAATGAGGTTAATTCCACTCTCATCGTCTGGGTGATCAAAAAACCACATTTTTGTGTCCTCAAATCACCTATAGGTAATCCTGGGTGACCAAAGTCCACAAGATTTTAATAATAATTTTTGTTCCTTTAAATCACCTAGATAATCACGGAAAATATCTCAAGGGCAAAAGCGACGCAAAGGAGGGTAATGTTTTTATCAGCCTATGTATGTATGTATGTATGTATGTTTGTTTCTATGTGGCGTTCTAGAGACCAAATGCGTAGGCCGATTTTGATGATTCTTACGTCAAGCGATTCGTCTTAACCTTGCGATTGTCACTAAAGATATAACAGTTATCAAATTTCACCACAGCGAAAACCAAACGCCATATTGTCATAATGAAGAAAAAAAACGATGAACTATGTCAAGTGGGGTATCGTTGAAAAGGTATTTTAAAATCATCTATAGGTTCCTTTTATCATTTTCCATTTTAAATAAAAGTTTAGGATATATAACGATTTAAAGTTGTTTAACAAAACAATCATTCTCGCCAATTTTCTTACTTATTGATTTAAGTTTTTATTTAAAGTATAATTAATATACAAACAAAAAAAAAACAGTGAAAAAGCATGAAGAACAAATAGTTTTGGTAAAAAAATTACTTTTATTCATTGCCAAGTCGCCGAGTAAAGAAAAGTTTACCACCAAGCTCGATAGACGAATTCGATAGATCATTCAAATTTTACCAATCAAATCTTCCCAAGGGGCTCCGACTGTGAGTCGTTCCGTTCTGCAAACTATTTAATTTGTGTAGTCATTTAGTATTACTTAACAGAATTCTAAAGTACTGGGCTTGTTTCTTTCTTTTTAGTTTTTATTAAAGTTAAAAAATTTAAAATTCGTTTTTACGCAGTCGGGTTTTTGTTTTTCTTTAAATTGTTTGTTTTTTCATTATGTTAAATATTTTTACTTATATAGATATTTAATATTTTTAGTGTTACCTATAATAGGTATAAAAACTCTTTTCAAAAATAGAACCGACTTTAAACTTTAAAAAAGTGTTAAATAATACTTACCTCGAAAGCGATATATTCAAGGAAATGTTATTGAAGTCGGCCGCCTATCATTTGATTAATAACCTAAAGAAAACCTCCGCCTGACTTCAATAGCTACTTGAATATGTAACTTTTGAAGTAAGAATTATTTGTAACTATTTTAAAGTTGGTTCTATTTTTTCAAATAGGTTTTTTTGTGTTATTTTATAGAAGTTGGATATCTAAAAAGGCCTCACCTTTTGATATCCAAATTACCTTACCAGGTTTTCCTAAAGCAGGTCCCAGATAGAATGAATTGTATATGAACACAGGTGTCTTCGCCAGCATGAAGAAGTCGCTGAGTGCGAGATTTGCCACCAAGATGTTTCCCGCAGTACGCAGACTGCGACATCTGAAACACAATAATTAATCGTTTAACTGTTTGATCTTTTTTGAATTAATAGCGTTGCTTCCGAGAAATTAAATTAATTAGCGAAGCTTATTTGTGGGATCAAACATAAATTTCAATTAAATATGTATGGAATTTGTCACGAATTTTAGTTAATAGAAATGACGACCAAACAGTCTAATATTAATTATTCTAACCAAATTATCCGAAATGAATATTTTAAATAAGTACATATGGGTAGTTCTACAAACTAAGGAAGAATTTGAGTCTGATTTCGGCTCGACATTTTTTATACATTCTGATGACAGAAATCAGTCTAATAATTAAATAATAATGTCTTTTAGCTTATCCTAAAAGGAACAGTCAAAATATTTAATATTTTTTTGATTTATGGTCTTTTAAAGAAAATCAAGCCACAGGAAACTGAGAGTGTCACCAGTAAACTGAGGAAAACACATAAAAACAAACGAGATCAATCAATTATTTCGCAATTTTTTTAATTTGCTTCTTAACATTAGTTTCTAATAATCAAAGTATCTTTTATAATAACAAAAAATAGTTTTATGCTTAGCTTAGATTTTAATTCTATATCTAAAACAGGCTTGAACATGAACATTAGTCATCAATTCATCATTGAATATTTAGGAACCTTCGTCTTGCTATCGATAGCTGTGACGATGCTAGTCTTCTCGCTATCGATTGTTGTGGCGATGTTACTGCGATGAATTAGATGTCGCTAATGTATCAGTCGCCACAAATATAAATTATTGTTGATCTAAATCATATTATTCATACGATTAACTTTCATTGACTTCTTTTTTCTTTTAACGGCTTCTGGAATTTGTCTGGGAAGAGAGTAAATAAAGGCAAATAAGGTCAATTTGTAAATTAGGCATATTGGATAAAACTTCTGGATTTTCTAAATTAAAAGTATAATCGCTTGCAACGCTCATATCATTAGGCTGATCTTTTGACTCCGTCTAACTTTCGTAACGTCTTTGAAAATTTGCCGTGATTCTGCAGCATACTCTAGTAAACTCATCCGGTAATATTTACACATAATACTCTTGTGGCGACTGATACATAGCGACATCTAATTCATCGCACTAACATCGCCACAACAATCGATAGCGAGAAGACTAGCATTGTCACAGCCATCGATAGCAAGACGAACTGCAATAAGTTTCAACAGCAAGTAACGAGATGGCGCTGTACCAATACAAGCAGCATAAATTAATAACTACAAGGCATTTAGAACAAAGAAACTTACATCACACAGAATAAGTTTAATTACTAATTAGCATCAATAGAACGTCCAACCTACATCGGTTGGACCGCGGTCCCCGGGCTAACAACACCTAGCTCGGAGGAAGACAATTATCCTTTAGTCTCCCTGGCCAGTTGTCTCCATCACCACAGTAGGGACCCAACCTTCAATCTTACGGTTCCTAAACTCTCATCTCAAAAACAGCTCATTGATTTCATTTGTAGCTTTCGTGCCATGAAATCACTGCCCTATACTTGATGTACCTTAAGTGTCCCATTAAAAGCGATTAAATTCTGTTGATTGATCTAGAAATCAATTTTTTCATATATTCTTCGTGGAAATTTCTTAATGTATATTACCTGTAGCGTCTTTGCACCTTTTGTTTAGTTGCTTTATTTCTTATAAATTATTTCTTGCCTGCGCATATTCTACTGTACTTGTCGTCACTCAAAACCATATGAACTATCTTTTTGTTTTATTGCAGCGTTTTTGGTTTCTTGACTCCACATCTTTTTATAAGGTACTAGCTTTCGCCAGCGGCTTCGCCCGCGTGGTCCCTAGGGAAATGTTTAGTGGAAGAAAAAGTATCCTATTATCTAAGTCAGCTAATACCCTATCTGTATACCAAATTTCATTTACATTAACGAGTTTTCAGATTAGACATACATATTATTGGATATTTGCTTTTCCAATACATCACCAAATAAATCCTTTATTACGACTTCTACCCGTGTCATTGGATCTTCAGCAAGTTTGGTTATTGTGGATTTAGGTGTAAGCTCTAGTTGTTGCTTTTGTTTTTTTTTTTAATCTCTGACATCTTTTTTTTTTATTTGCTAAGCTTTTCTTTCAAATTTAGTATGAGCTCATTTTTGTTTGAACTTCTAGTTTCTCTTATAAAGCTGCTTCTAGGGCCGTTCTCGTGCTGATTCGCTCTAACAAATTGATTCGTCTACTAAGTCTAATTCGTCTACGTCTTAACTTTTTCTCTTAGCAGGATTTTCCATATCTCAATCTTTCAGCTATCCCTTTTTTCTAATATTTCTTTTTTGGTCTGTTTCTTTTTTGATTTCGCCATTTTTCTGTGTAATAAAATATAATATAATTCAAAAAACCTAATGTAACACTAAAATTTTTACAGTTAATGAATATTTACACAGAAACAGTATTTTTATAATGATCTTCTCAGTATCATGAACAGTTCTTAGTATCCTGGTTACCAATTCGACAGGATCCTGAAGCCAGGTTCCTGATAATTTCTGTGTAAAAATAAAATAAACACTTTAATTTATAAAATTCAACAAAAATAAGCTAAACTAGACCTACGCGCTAGCAACTTACATATCAAAACGCGAAAATTATTCATATTTATTATTTATTTCGTAAATAAAAATCTTACCAGGATTCTGTGAACTCCACTGATTACGACAACACTGCACTCGCCAAACGCACTGGGCTCACTAAACAACGCGCTGGGAGAGAATAGATAAATGATATTCTTTGTCTTCTCCGTAGGTTCTATCGACTCAGTGGAACAGTAACGACCCAAGGCTAAAAGCCTAGTAAATATTTACATGTTTTACAGCGTACAGGATTCTGATGTGAAGTCGTGGGGACAAAATATAAACAAGATTTATTCAATATATTTTTAAGTAAACCGTATAATAATTGTTCTATATAGTCAGGAGATTTAGTAAACTTAATAAATAGGGTTTAATTTAAGACCAAAATGCAGAAGTAAATGAATCACGTCGCAATTTTAACTAAAATTTGCATGAGGGACACTGCAGGATCTTGAGAATTCGGCACTTTGAATAGTGATTTTGATCAGAAAAGAATTGTAAATCTTAATTATTTTTAGTGACCATTTAGAAACAGTTGTAATAAACAGTATTCCATATAAAATAAACTATTATTAACAATTTTTTTATCATATTTGAACTGAGCCGCCGAAAATTCCTTAGTTTGTAGAACTACCATATAACATTTTGTTAAAATAATTATGAATGAAGCGTGACTGATATTATTAATGACACACTAGAGAAAATGTGAGCAATTCTCGAACTATACGTCGAGCACGACGCTGCTAGAATATAGAGTTCAATCAAATATAAGTTAAGATAAAAGTTTTATTTCATGAAACCTCTATGCTGTGAAAGCGCTGTGCTCGTTGTCGAGTTCGAGGTTGATCTTATAAGAGAATGCATAGCCACCGTATGGATGGCATATCTGTTTTCATTATGATCTAATTTGGAGATTTCAATATGTTACCGTAGTTGGTCATGTAGTATATAAGCGCCTGGGATAGTTGTTGTTAAGCAACTTTGGCAAGAGTCGGTCATGGTATGTGTGACCAAAAATTATTATCTCGAGCTACTCTGTGCTTCGGAAGGCACTTTAAGCCGTTGGTCCCGGCTGCATTTGGAGTCGTTAGTACCCTCCAATTTGCATCGGGCTAGCGTAGAGGGATCATGACCCAACCTCCTTCACCATCCATAAAGAAGGCCTGAGCCCCTGCAATGGGGGCGTTAAAGATAAACTAATGACCATGATTAAGTAACTTTGATTGCCTGAACATTGATGACTGTAGCGAAAAGTAATGAGCACTTGAAAAATTCGTCACACGTGTTAGGTCCTGGGTTGCTCAGTGGTTAGAGCAGTCGCCCGAATTGCGACAGGTCGTGGGTTCGAGTCCCACCTCTGAGCATCTAAATTTTAAGCATTTTTCATTAAGATTTAAAATAAGTGTCTGATTTCTTTGTATTATTATTACATACTTTAAGCAAGATCACATAATATGTTTGACAACAAATGTGTTATATGGTATAGGTATTATTATAACACGAAACTTTTCTCGAAAGTTTTCGTAAGTGTAGTAGGTGTTATTGTTTACGGGAAAAGAAAATAATTTTCCTTCTGTAGGTATAAATATTTAGTAGTTTCATCGTTCATTCAATTTATAAACGATGGTCAATATTATTGCATCCGTCTTGTGTAATACAAAATGTAATAATTTAAGGCGCTATCTAATATTTCTTTAATTGCTTTCGGCAAGATTAGTTTTTAGATTAATGCTCGTTTTATCAGTAAATAATAAAAGAATAATAATTGCTTCTCTTGAATATTCATAATTGATTGTTGATATGCTATAATGATTATGAAGATTCCTGTGATTCATCTATAAAATAGATTCGGGCATTTTCGGAACTGAATACTTAGAACGCGAAACAGGAAGATTCCGTGCAAATATGGAATTATAAAACTTTAAACTTCTTACAGATCTTTCTGTGATACACAAAGTAGATTATTAAGTGCATCTAAAAAATATTGAAATTTTCTGTAGCTTACACTTAACAAATAAGTGCAGTTAAGGTTAGCAGTGATACTGCGAGAGAATATTACACATTTCAGAAAAAGAAGATTTTTAAATGTGACTATTTAAGAGGTGTATATAATAATAGAATTAAATAGAAATAATATATTGGAAAAGGAAAATCACGCCTAAATATCTCGAATTTTATTGTGTTTACTGACAATTTTACTTTACAACTAGTTCCTTTTTTAATTAATTGTTAACACTGCGTAATAATTAAAGTTTGACACATGTCTCGAATTAAGATTTTATTATTCATTGCTTATTTCTGGGTTCAGTTTGATTTATGGGATTTATAGGTGCATGAGATAACTTGGCTATTCTATTAATATTTCTTTGAGATTTTGTACCTAATTACTTTCTCTTGAATCACTCTGTAATAATATATCTGTCATTCCGTCAATCCTTTGAAATTTCAGAAATTGTATCCTCATTATCCCTCTTTGAAAAATTATACTGTATATCTGGGCAATAAAAGGAACTGTCAATATCGAAATTCTGAGTGATATGATATATATTCAATGGCGGTGCTTCATATCACAAGTGCCGGAACTTTATATAGGTACTTTTGGAAGATGAATTTAGTACTTTGACCCACATAGTTTGCTATATTTCTATTGCAATAAAGTATTCTAAATGATATCAAGGGGGTGACAAGCTAATTGGTTAAAGCGCCATTTTTGACAATATTTTGATAGATATTTAGGATCGGTAAATGCTGATCCCAAATATCTATTTAACTCATTATCGCCCAAAAATGTTGCTGAAACGATTTAGCGTTTCATCCCGCGATATGTTAAATAATATATATTAGTATATAATAACGTACAGTAAATAATAATATGCCGTTTTTGACATACTTTATATTATGTACCTAAATTTTTTATTATTTGGTCGAAAAGTTATCACGACTTTATACAAACATTAAGTACAGTTGGAAAGTCCAGATTTCCAGAATACTACTATAATTATGAGCCATGAGGCATTACTGTAGATGGAATTGTGGAATTGAATTGATGACACAGTGTTTGGTGCTTAAAACTTCCACCTGGTACTTAAAATTTTCCTTTGATAAGTTTTGATCAAAGCCTGAGAATAATGAACAAAGTATTCCCTTTCTCAAAACACTACGAAAGGAAAACTTAATCTTAATCATTGCTTTGCAGCGTTGGTAGCAAATTTCGCTTGTAAAATTTATATATATAAAACAAACTAAGTTTTTTTTTTTAATTATACATACAATTCATAACATTGAATTTGAAAGCGTGTTGTTTTTTCATGTTGTTGTTACTCTTTACTTTAACAAAAGTCAATCAAAATTAAAATTCCACACGTCTAAAACCGTTCAAAATAGATTTTATTAAATAAGCAATTCTAATACCGCGCATACTTTTTTGCTTTAACACATGTAATTTGCAAAATTCGATCATCTATATGGAAAGATTATATATCTTCTAAAAATCACAACGAGCTTTAGATTTATTGCAAAGTACAAATTTAAATCAAAATTTTCATAGAAGTTACTCCATACTCTTAGTAATAAGAAATATTAAACAGTTGTTTAATTACACATGCTCTGACCGAAACTCCAAACGTTCTGTATGAAATTGATTTCGAGACAAAAAGACAAAAGTACGGTATAACTACACGATTAAAAGAATAATTTTTGAAATAAGACAAAATTAATTTTTCAACGACTTTATCTCCTGTTACAAGTTAATTTGAATGAATTTACTGCGTTAGTGTAGTATTAAAGTATGTGCCTTTTATCTTAAGAACTTATATTTTAATAAAAATATAAGGACAGTGATAATATTCTTCGTAAAGACTGATGGACCGAAGTTCCATTTCTACCCTAAAGCTAAGTTGTAAACTAGTGGTAATAAAATGTAATAGCAAGAGAT